AACTCGAAACGATAGTTGAATAAGTGATTTGTTTTTATGACTTGACAACCTTTGGGTCATTTAAAACCAAAACATATTTTGGATGGTAAGAATATGTTTTTTTTGTGAGTAAATATTGCAAGAACAATTTTTTTAAAGAACAAAAAAAGTCCTACTATTTAACCCATAGCTGGTGGGAGGAGATGGATTCATACCTTTCCCAAAGGTAAGTGCATGTAAGTGAACGTAACAAATTTGACTGGAATTTGAATTTGGCTCTCCAATTTCTCATTCTGATCCTATATTTATTAAACCACCTGTATATTCACTCAAAGTGACAGAAATATGGTTCTACTATTGCATGCTAAAAAATTAACATGGATAGAACATGCGAGCAATGAGGAGAATAGGAAAAACAAGGAAATTTACTATCAAAAGAAATGAAATTTCTTGGATACATGATGAGGAAAGAGGGTCTGGAGAATCTAATGCTCACAAGACATATTGAAAGCGATACAAGCAGGTAGAAACAGTAAGTAATCTACTTTGAGAGTTTGTATAAATGAATGGCAGAAGAGGGATGAAGAGAGATGGTAAAAGTTACTTAGAGCAGCAAAATATTGGAAGTTGTAGAGAGCCATGTCTGGACACATCCTGGAAGGAGTAGGCATATAAATGAAGTCATTGCTTTCAATCTTTGTGTGAATTTCTTTGCATAGTAAACATTACTTAACATAAAATTGATTAAGTCACTACACACAATTAAATATGGATAAAACTATATATATATATATATATATATATATATATATATATGTTGTAACCTAGGGAAGGTTACTGAATAGAATGATCAAATGAAGGTTGGTAATGAACAATAATACTTAGGACATGAACAACACATATAAGATTCTCCAGCAGTGCGTAGAAGAACTACGCTAGATGTGAGTCAAGTGAATTCCACAATGAATCTCCAACTTCAGACAAACATACAGTATTTACTACTGTATTTATGTGAATGGGGATATACCCATTATCATCAATAGGTATGCTACAGCAATATATTTGTGTATTTAGGCAGCAAATTCTCTTTTAGGCATGTCTGATTGAATAAATTACAGACATTATGTCTGCTAATTTTTAACAAAATCCATTCATACTCATGAATAACATTCCATGTATAGATATGAAAGGATGAGAGAAATGTGCTATAACTGTTTAAATTTCTTTTATTTTCATTTCCCAAGTACTTTTGATCTTCTTCCAAGAACATCTTCAGGGGTGAAAGTAGTACAAAACTATATGTTGTCCATTAGTATAAGTATTTATACAAAGCTGTGTGTTGCTATCCATTACCATAATTTTTCATTATGCTTGTAGCATGGAGAACTTTTATTCCAGAAGGCTGTTTTGGGGCAGACTCTATTCAGAGATGCTCATTTAAATCCTGGATTTATATATAAATTTAAATACTCTCAATTGAATTTGGTTGTCCGGTACTGTTGAGCACTATTTTGGCTTAAGGCTTCAGCTCCTTTGCCATGGAACTAGTTTCACTTTATTGAGCACTTTTTGCTATACTGGCAAGCCTTTCCAAGTGGAAAACATTTTTTTTTGTTGTTTTGCCATTTTAGATCTTGGCTGGATGATTTAGCCTACCACCAACTGTGCAGATTTGTTTTGCTTGTCAAATTGAACTCACCCAGTGGTATATAGAGTATTCATATTATTACAAGTCACTGGCTACTGATGATTGTGTGAAAACACATGAAACTAATAGTAGTGGTCAGCCATTGCCAACCTGGTTTTGAATTAATATTCAAAAGCTCTGCCATTTCTTGTGGCATGGAGCACTTTTATGCCAGAAAGCTGTTTTTGGGCAGACTCTATTCAGAGCTGCTCATTTAAACCCTGGATATATATATATATATATATATATATATATATATATGTATGTAAAATCAAGCAAACATGGAAGTTGAAATATCTGGGAAGTGTTCTGACAGAGGATGGTAAATGTGACACTGAGATCCGTAGCCTATTGGGATGGCCAAGGATGAATTCCAAAAACTGAACAGAGTATTGCAAGACAGGAGGATTTCTTTGGTAACAAAGAAAAGAATACTGGGCTGTTACGTGACATCTGCCCTTCTTTATGGCATCAAATGTTGGATGATTTCCTCAAAGATGAAGAAGAAACTTGAGGCAATGGAGATGTGATTCTATGGAAGGATGCTAAGGATGCACGGACTGAGCATGTGAGCAATGATGAGGTCTTAGAGAGGATGCAAACAAGAAGACGGCTTATACTTAACATCAGGAAGAGGCAGCTGAAGTTCCTGGGACACATAATGAGGAAGGAGGGCCTGGGGAATCTGATACTCATAGGTCGAATAGAGGGAAAGAGGGACAAGGGAAAACAATGCATGACATACCTAGTGTCTTAAAGCAAGTGGATGACAGAATGTGGTCTGGGGGACATGGCAGAGGGAAGGAACGTTGAGAGCTGCAAGGGATAGAGGGAGGTGGAGAGCCATGATCACCTACATCCTGAAAGGACACGGCATATAAAAAGAAAGAATATTAGCATCAAATATATCCTTGGACAGCTGTATACAATCCCACTGACTGATCGACATCGGGGTACAGAGGTTCATAAATCAACTCTAAAGGGTCTAATTTCGATCGATAGAACCTATCTGCCTGGTAAAATGAAGGCCTGGTGCTATCAACATGGTCTATTACCCCGCCTTTTGTGGCCTCTGAAAATGTATGAAATTGCATTATCTCATATTGAGCGCATTGAGCAAGTGATCAATAAGTACTTGCGTAAGTGGCTTGGAGTTCCACCTTGTTTTTCGAAAGTGGGCCTATATACCAACTCCGGACATCTGCAGCTCCCTATACATTTATTGGTGGAGGAATTCAAGGTTGGGAAGGTACACCTTCATATGATGATGAGAGACTCAGCTGATGATTGCATACGGAAGGTGCATCCAGAGATTAAATCTGGTACAAAGTGGTCAGCTGCAGAGGCCACAAAAGAAGCAGAAACCAGTCTGCGAGTCAGAGATATCATAGGCGTGATTCAGAATAATTGGGCTGGGTTGGGTAACACGACACACAAATACTACTCCAAGGAGAATGCAAAGGGAAAAAGGCGTATGGTAGTTGAAGAAATCAAAATGTTCGAAGAGGAACATAGAATAGCTACTGCTATTACTCAAGTGAAACAGTGTAAGTGGACAACATGGAATGATATTGAACCCATTAAACTTTCGTGGAATTCATTAATTGCGATGGAACCATTGGTGATATCTTTCCTTCTTCGATCTACATATGATCTTCTCCCAAATGAAACAAACCTGAAAATGTGGGGATACACAGATACAGATCTCTGTTTTTCGTGTCAAAAAGACCGAGGTACCTTGCGTCATGTGCTTTCTGCTTGTCCAAATTCGCTCCATATGTACACGTGGTGACACAACAAGGTATTAGAGGTGATAAGGGATCTAATAAGAACACAATGTGAGACAGCAAATCAACAGCTTGTGGCAACCAAGGAAACTAAGATTGAATTCCATAAGGAAGGGGAATGCCCTGCAAAGAAAAAACAAGTGATTGGAAGGTTTCAGTGGATCTAATGATATCCTTAAAATTTCCAATACACATCGCACAGACAGACAAGCGTCCCGACATTGTGTTGTGGTCCGACTCTAAAAAGACTGTCTTCCTAATAGAACTAACAGTCCCTTGGGGAGAGAACAGGGTGGACGCACACGAACTAAAGAAAAACCGGTACGAGTCACTGCGTGCCGAGTGTATGTAAAATGGTTGGACGTGTCACATGATGCCTATTGAGATTGGGTGTCATGGGTTTCTGGGAGATTTGGTCATTTCCTTCCTTTCAAAAATAGGCATCACTGGCCGTTGGTTGAAAAGCGTTTCGCATCGCCTTCAAAAAACTGTTCAACATGCGTCAAGTTGGATTTGGTTGAGATCAAAACAAGCAAATAGAATGTGCGCAACATCATGACCTAACATGCGCAAGTGAGATATTTGCGTGGTCGTCTATAACGACTTTTACGAGTGCGTCAATAACAGCAAACGCGTTCAAGAAACTTTCATTGCAGATAGATTTTACTTAAAGGAACAATTAGTTAGCTTATCTTTATACCCTGCCTGGTGGCAAACGCTGCAGGTGGCGCTAGGGGTGGCGGTCCCGCCATAGCCACCGAAACCGTGAGATCACCCCTGGTCGGCGGCTGATGAAGACAGGGTATCGCACGTGCTAACACACGTTGTATGTTAAAAAAAAAATATGGATTAGAATCCAACAAACAAGAAAGATTTATAAATTTAACATGTTTCTCTTTTATTTATGCATCATCAGAAAATGAAATATGGAGGAGAAAAGGAAATTCTGAAATTTTTATTTTTGTGTTTTTTGTATTTCATTCATTAAGTAGACCACACATGTAACAGTTCTTTTCAACAGTGTTTCATGTTTATAATTCATGTGTTTGTGTGTGTATTATAATTCTAGTTTGTTTATGCAGGATTTGGTTGTAGGCCTTTTCATCTATGTTTAGTGGTTGCTTGCATGTTGATTTGGGGACAATTTGTGTGAGAGGGAAAGAATTTGGTTGTGGTTGTAGGTAGACATATCCATACTTAAAGAATCTAAGATATGTCAACCTACAACTGCAACTCTTTTACTCTCACTTGGAACTGAATGCATCAATAATGTTATAGGTGCATAAGAAGGACCAATATGAGACTTACAATATTTAATATGACATATTGAATTGTTCAATCCTGGTAATTAGAGTCTGTAAAAATTAAAAAGTAGAGAATCTGTTCTTGGTTGGAATTTCACAAACTATCTTTGTTAGAAAACTTACTGATAACTAAATATGATTATAGAAAACTCTGAATGTTCTCAGTTGGACGCTATCTAAAACTCGGCTCTCCAGTTTTCAATTTCAAGCCATTATCATTATTACACCACCCACACATGCAAGCTTGCAGCACCTGGTATTTCCAAGTGATCACACATCTATGTACTGACTAGGCTCTGTGTTGCTTAACTTTGGTGAGAATATGAGAACTGGTATTTCAATGTGAAATGGCTGTAAGCCTCCTAGATATAATGAAGTATCTTTCAGCATGGAAGATGAATTGAAATGTGTATAAAATATTTATGCATACAAAATAATAATAACATATATAAATATTTGATAATCCTTTTCTGGTGTGGTGCAGCTCCATGTAACTCTTATGCACATGATGTCATTTTAGATTAATTCAAATCGCAGTGCTATAAAAATGCCAGATTGTAGCCAACAAGATCTTGACTATCACATTAGCAGCACTGATAATGACTGACATATTCAAAAGTACTTAAATAAAACAGTACAAAACAGGAACTTCAAACAGTTTATCCACAATTCTAAACCCAATATACAATATATTTTGGGAAATGGGAAAGATGCAATAAAAATTAAACAGATACCTTGTTTTAATATAACAAAACTTGGTTGTATATATATATATATATATATATATATATAATTAGCCTGCATGTACATATATGTTTGTATGTGTATTTTATATATAATGTTTACAAAGGGGTACCCAAAATTTCTCATCCTGACCCACTTCCAAAAATCAGATTTTATTTAGACTGGTGAAGCTGTTTTTATTTTGTTTTTTTTACAGGAACTTCAAACAGTTTATCCACAATTCTAAACCTATGTGTACTTTATATATAATGTTTACAAAGGGGTATCCAAAAGTTCTCATCCTGACCCACTTCCAAAAATCAGATTTTATTTAGACTGTCTTCTTGGTGAAGCTGTTTTTTTTGGGTTTTTTTACTATCCCTTGTATATATGATACATTTATAATTATTTTTATCTAATTAAAAAAATATAAAACTTGAATACAAGAAAATAAGTCAGGACAGACAAATGCTATTCTTCTTTATTTGTGATGATTTACAAGATAATCCATTGTTTTAAATAAGAAACAACTGCTCTGTGAGTCTGTCAGTCCATACTATACTTCTGTCACCAACACAATTACCCAGTTCTCTACTGTCTTACTAACTCATTTCCTAGTATTTAGCTTGATTATTGTTGAGATAATAAGATTATAGATAAGATCAAAAGAAACAAATCTGCTTTTGCTTTCAGTCAAAAAATATTGTGAATTTTAATGTCCTCTTTAGGAAGAAATATATAAATTTTTAATTACATTTAAAAAGAATTTTATAAAATGTATTTTGTTCTTGCAAATTAATGGCCAATGTCATACAGTTCAAGATCATCCTAATAAAAATGAAATCATAAATAGAATATAATCAGCATAAGTTAGCAAATTTTAAACCATGATTAGAAGTTTTTTTTTAATATTATTGTTCACCTAATAGAAGGCTTAAAGTAAAGAGTTACTGAATGAGAGTATTGTGTGGGAGCAAAAGAAGTACATACCATGAAGATATGGAGGATAGATAAGCTTAGACATGAAGAGGCCAAAATTATAGTGTCTGGGGAAGAATCCTCTCAGGAGCCTGTTTCCCAAAGCTGAACTTCCTCCTTACCAAAGGAATAAAAAAAGAATGAGGAGAATTTTGTGCCATGAACATGGCATGGCAGGTCTTAGTTGTGAAAATCTGAATGGGTGGAACTAAGGAACGTAGCTTGTTCAAACATTTACCAGAGTAATGGTGTTAGAGTAGATCTAAAGGGTGTTCTCATAACTTGAACCGATTTTAAATGTGAATTAAGTTTAAGTGTCTAATGATCTTTTCTTTTTCTTTCAGATTTAACAACTTAAGTCTTTGGCAATTTTGGCCATGGAAAACATGTTAAAGTTATTGAAGCCTATTACAAAAATGGACATTCAAACAAATGCAATGAGAAGTTCCCAGGTTGCATCATCTCTCAAAACAGCAAAGTCAATTGGCCAACAGGATTGTGCAACTTGACGCCTTTAGATTACTTCCTTTGGAGTCATTTTAAAAGTAAGGTCTATGCCAACAAGCCAACAACAATTCAACAGCTGAAGGATGAGATAATAAGGCATATTGGTGAGATCAAGAACCAACTATGCAGAGACATCAAAAATTTTGACCATTGAGTGGAGGTATGTCACCAAAGCCTTGGCGGACATTTGGGTAATATTATTTTTCACACATAATTGCCATGACTTAAATAACATGATCCAATGGAGAAATAAATAAATTTTCACCAATGACAATGATTTATTTACTGCTGACTTTGATTGGTCTTAATAAAACACCCTTTATATATAAGTTTGCTTGTTCATATCTATCTGCAGACATACCTTCAGTGTGTTTAAGATTTTCTCTAAAGTATATTTATCATATTGTCACTAATTTTTTACCACTCACTGATCTATGAATGGTTCAAATCTACCTACATGGATAGTAAACATTCTCCATGTAAATATTAAAGTATACAATCCTTGCTACACTTCCCTATGTCACACTGTTCTAAAGCTGATTATATTCAGATAATAGTAATGGTAATATCAGCCATTTCCTTATAAGGAAACATTTGACATTCATTGACCAAGCATTCAGTACTGATTTCAGTGGAAATTTATAAAATCTTTCATTTACAACAATTTTTCAAGAAAATAGGTTTCTCAAGTCCACTAGCTATTATTGCTCTTTCCAGCATTGATGGGGGCTTTCTTCTCAAGCTTTCATTGGAAGTGGTGTAGAATGTCAACAACCTGATTATAACATTATTTTCTCTGTGAGTTACATGCAATATCCATTTTAGGTGTTGCTGCTGTTGGTAGTTCTCAAGAGATATGGTTTCTTTTATTTAGAACAGTACTCTATGAGTGCCACTCCACAGGACCCAAAGAAGGATGGTTCCCACCAAGACTAATAGGATTCATTCTCTCAAAGCTATTTTTAACTATTGAGCTTAGAAAGCAGTTTTATACAGCTGGCAGTTTAGATATTTCTGAACAGGTTTAGGTGCTATGCATGCCATCCATCTGAAAAGTCTTGGTTTGATTAAACTATTTAAGAACATATGTGTTTTCAGGTTAATGTTTTGGTTTTGTAGCAACTTATCGTGTTGGGACAAAATTACCTCTAGCGCTGCCTATTTTATGTTCAGTTTCCTTATCTCCTATACTAAATTTGTTTTAACTGATCCATACACTGAGGCATTAGAGAAATTATAAAGATATGCTCTGTAATTTGTACTGTTTTCTGGTTTACACAACTAAGGAAAAAAGAAAGAGACACCTGTCTTTCTTTACTGAATGTTAATAACTCTTTAAAAAAATTCTGTCTTGAATATAAGAAAATAAGTCCAAAAGAAATGTTAATATTGTGATGATTTACAAGATAATCCATTGTTTCAAACCAGAAAGAACTCATCATTATTCTAAGTTTTTCACACCCTATTATTCTCCTGTTACCAACACAATTAACCTGTTCTCTACTAGCTTCCTCATTCCTCAATATTTAATAACAATAAACAAAACCAAGGTAAATATGTAGGTAGTGTAATAGCAGCACAGTGAGTAGAATTGGCAAGCTGAGTTCAAATTCTGGCCTAGTCTACTGTATACACTTTTGCACTGACACTCTTAAGAAAGGGATGAATCTATCTCTTCTCCTACTGTGACCCAACTCTAGTTTAAATAGTAGGGTAGACTGAGTCCTCTAGCTTTGAGTAAGAGAAGAAAAATTCTGAATTGCAAGCTATGGACAAAGTAAGAGAAAATCAGTCCACTATCTTCCCCCAAAATTTCTTGGCAATTCACAGATAATGAAAAAAAAAAATTTTTTTTGAGATGATTGCCTGAAGTGACATGGCATTTAAAAAAAGATAAGACCAGACTTTTGATAAAGGTGGCAAATATTTAACCAGTGAACATTTTCTGCTACTTCTTTCTGAATTTTAAAACACAGAAAGGAGTATTTTCATATAGATGATTCATTATTTACCTTATTTACATTTTTTGGACTGTTGTCCTCATCGTTGTTGCCATATTCATGACATTTCAGCTGTTGTATGTTCCAGCCTTCTTTAGGTGATTTGAATTTCGAACTGAACCCTTTATTTTATCCACTGGGCCATGTTTCCATTAAGGACAATGTAAATAATAACAATACTTCATCTCAGAAATATAGACAGATATTAATGATTCATGCTTATCAATTTGTAAATGGGAAAATTATAATATTAAATTTGAATATAATGATATCATTATTTCTATTTTGCTGTCACTATATATATTATTTTGTATTCATTTTTAGACTACATATAATGAATTTTCTAAATCTACCTGGTTAACATATATTCTATTGGGTGCGGCATCTATATTTACCCATTATTCATTTTATTATAAAAGAAAAAGTTTTAGGTTTTGGTCAATGAAAGTTTACAAGTTGATTGTTATTTTTATTGACAATAATTTACATATAGCTACAATTCAAAATGGCCACCTTTTGTTTTCACCATAGCCCTTAATCTCTTCTCAATTGTAGTGCATGATTTTTCCATTGTACTATGACATCATAAGAACTTATATCAGGTCTTGTACACTTGAATATGAGATATGGGAAACATTGCTCTCCAATATGGACTACATTGTAAAGTCCCTAGAGCCTGATGGAGGACAAATTCACATGTCAAAACAATCCACAGAAATGTTTGACACCAATTCTTTGTCAAATTGATTGTGAATGTGACAACTGTATCTTGAGTGAATACATAGCATCTTCCAAATGTGGCTGACAACCAGAGTAACACATCTCTCTCCAACATTTGTTGGTAAACTCTGCTATTCACTTTCACTCTTTCTTAGTACCAAGTCTGATTTTGAACCATCAGAAGCAATAGCAGACCAAACCATGACACTAGTTGGTTTCTATTGCTTGAAATATGTTCTGACACCTTTGGGAATGTTTCCTGGCTATTGTTTTCTAGTTGACAGGAAAAAAAAAATGTCTGTGACACACTGCATCTCCTCCAACATTTTCTTCTCTCTGTCAAACTATTTTTGCTTGGGTGCACTTGAGAGCAGCAGCTGTCAGCAATTGAATCTTGTATGATTTTAGCCCTAAATCCTTTTTCCC